TTCCCCCCCCCCCACCCACCTTTAAATGTTAACGTTTGAAAAGAATATATGAATTTGAAGATTAAGCAACAGGGATTACTGCGAACAAGTTAGGTTCCAATACTCGAATCTTGTGGGAATTCTTACCTTTGTCAAAATTGGTGTGTTTGGTTCTGACACCGAAATTCACAGAACATGGAATTGACAGGTTACATGGAATAAGTGGGTTACATGATATTTTCTAAGTGGCATTTTGTACGACAAACTTGTTTTGCATAAGAAATTACATAGTAGGCAATCTATCCATTACTTATCTCTCAAACTTATAGTGCCTGCACACTCCCTCCCNNNCTCCCTCCCACCCCCACCCCCCCACCCCACCCACCCACACCTCTTTCGTTCTCTATTGGGTGGATAAAATTGAAAGATAAATCGAAAAATCCTGAAAATACGCTAAGATGCAAGTCATGCCCATTTGGGGAAAAGAAGAAGATTACCATCCTAATTGGCCATAGCGAACAAAAGTTTGCCTTGTAACCACGTAAATAAATCACAAAATTTTAACTCTAGAGCGTAATTCGAGTTTAAAATCAAATTACACGCGATTCCTACGATTTGAGACTTTTTCCTCGAAATCAATTGGTCCACTCTTCTCTAAGCTTTATTGGTTTATCTCTCATGACAGAAAATCATTGCCTTCGCCTGAGTTATAATGATAAATGTATATATATATATACACTGCTAGAGATTTGGCAAAAGATAATTCCACCACCTTTAACCTTGAAACGAAACGGTGCATCGCATTTCCTAAAAGTGTGAGGTCAACTTAAGGATAAACATCATTTCCACACTCCTTCTAGGCTGATAAAATATCTTAAGCACAACAAAATTAGTGCAAAAGCAATTTTTTGTAACACCTGACTCGGAAAGGCGTTTATGAGGCACATTCAGAAACCACCACCTTTCTTCTCAACCAGAATTAACCAAGCTGGATGGCCTTATTCAGACCGATTGAGTCGCGCCGATGAGTCTAAATTTTGCAACCCTCCCCCCCCCCCCCCCCCCGACTCCACAGACGTGCCACGGATGCACCAAGAAGTAGACTTTAAAATTTCACTCACCGACTTTGAGCGAAGGCACTTTTTCCACCAGGCACAGCTTGACAGAGGGTTCCAGGAAGTTTTTCTCAATCAGCATAGAGGCTACTTCACCGGCTGTCATTCGTTGATCTATCAGTATCGCCTTAGTTGTCTTATCCGGTCGGAATATCCGCACAACAAGCTGTGGAATAATAAAACGTGTAAAAGGGCATAAATAGACCCCGATTTACTCGACAAACAAGCTAGCAAACAAAGAAAGTGTGTTAGGGAAATTGATGACTATCTTGCAAACACAATAGTCAACCTTATTTCAATTTAACGTAAATGCAAAAATTTGACCGTTCTGTTTGCAAAGTCGCTTAGGAAGGCGCACACGTACAAACGTGATAGCTATGTGAAATTGGCGAGATTTCTGAGTAGACTGGCTTGTGAAAAAGGTGTTAGTGGCTTGTTTGAGGTTTGTTAATGCGAGAAATGGCATTTATAACTATGAGAAGGTAGTGGCAGTGGTAGGGGGCGATGGAAAATTCAGCGTTTAGAAGGCTCCTGTTTAACCTACCTTATTTAATTGGAGACGATCGGCTAAATCAACCACTTGGTTAAGCTTTCTCGATATCTCCGGACATTCGGACATCTAGGGAGAGGAAAAGAATCGATTTTCGATGAATAGGTTGCCTGATAAAATAATATTCGACAACGTTCAAAAACGGAAAATAATGACAATAGTTTCAAAATTTAAATTGAGGAAGCACATAATCGGATGGTTCTAGAACTCTGATAAAGCAAGGTTTGTCTGATTCAGTTATTCACGTTAGCATTGCCTATATTCTATCTTCTATAAGCTATCTGATGCTCGTATTTTTGTGCTCTGCAATTATTTCGAAATAATAATCCACGAAAATTACGTATAATTTTAATGAAGAAACTCTCATTAAGTCGAGAAATGTGATAGACCATTCGGTTTAACCTAATACCCAACGTAGACTACATAAAGTAAGTCCTCATGCTTTAGTAAATTCGACGTCAGATTTGAGTAAAAGTTGAGAAGTGAAATGTTTTAATTTAACGAAAATTGAATGAATGATTAGGGGAATGAAGAATGTTTACTACATTTAACATTTAAAACTGATGTAGTGTCCTTAATTGATGGTTACAGGTAAACACACTGGCTGTCAATTATTAACTGATGAAAATGACCTTCGGAACGGCACATTCAATTTCATGAGATAGGACTACAACAGTTTCTCTTAAATTTCGGCGGCTACCAATTCATTTAGGCTTATAATAAGATCAGTATTAAAGTAATAATGCCCAACCATTCAATTAAATCGAATAGTAAATACTGCAACCAAGAACCCATCCAGAAGTTCAGTAATCAAATCGGGAAATTTGGACTTGGAAACAATTTATATTTTATTTGGTGAATTATTACCCTATGGAAAAGTGGATAGCTCCAAGTTTCATGAATTCAAATAATCTGATTACGTAAATATATATTCGTTTTCATCCATTACCGAAATATTTTTTCAGATAATAACCCAGAATTAACGGTTCTAAAAGATCTTTATTTTCTCATGTGAACTAACAGCAGATTTGAAATAAGCCGAAAAAGAAATTGTCAAAAAAGGTTAGGTGAGACCTCTGCAAAGAAAAATATGCACACGATTTCCTAAACAAAACTGGGACACTGGTGAGTGAAACATCCATTCTTCTTCCATCTCGCATTAACTGGAAGGTAACTTGAACTAACAGAGCAAGATCTCCTCAAAAGGTATAAAACTTCTTTATTTGAGGGAAAAAGTACGATATCCAAAAATGAGTCTTGCTTTACACTCATCCAATAGAGTTAGCTAGACTAACAGAGGGAAGGATGGAACAGACAGACTCACCGATTTATCAGACAGAGATCCTTCATTACTTGCACAGGCAGCTGGTGTGATATTTCCAAGGCGATTATTGTGATTTGGGGACGACTGGAAGGGTGGTTTTTGGTGAAGAGCCGCGGCAGAAATGGATGAGGAACAACCGCTTGAAGTTGTTGGCGAATCGAATGCTGAAAGACGATTCAGAATTGGTGTCGTTTGGACAGGTGGTGGAAGCGGTGGAGGCGCCATTTCTAAGGATCGATGTCGTTCTACTGGAGCTCCATTGCCATTATGGTGATAGCGCTCCTTCGTGGCCTATGGTGTCAATAATACGATTTAAGAAAAGGAGGTCAATTTCAATAAAATGACTCTATTAATATTCATCTAACCAATTTTAGAAAAAAACTTTTCCCATCCGTCATCTTTGGTAAAGGAGAAACACTAAGGTGCCTCTGTGGAGAGAAATTCTACTTTATCACCCATTCATTGGCAGTCTTAGCTAATTGGCTAGTTCGCGGTCATGAAACCATGATGCATGATTTTAATCAGAATGGTGAGTTAAGTGCAATAAATATTGCCGTTTTAAAATCTCTGAATGCAATTTTAGAAAGACAATGTTCTAAGGCTAGTGAAAAATGCGATACACAGAAGACAATTGTTACGACTTTAATCCTTGCCAACATTGTGGTGTTGGCGTGGTTTGCTAATTTATTTTTAACCTTGGTTGGTGGATTTATCACCATCGGCTACCAGAAGGTTAATCGGTTTCCTTTTGCATTCTGAGGCTTTCCTTCTTGCTTTTTCCCCCCGATTAGCTGATTATCAGCCTCTTTTTGCGAAATTGTTACTACCTATTCTCTTATCTTGTGATAGGAAGGTCAATAGTTTACCCACTTCCATTGCTTTCATTCCCTTTAATTCACTTGTTCTTTCCATCTTGCTTGCACACTTTATTAGTGACTCGTTATGGTAGAAAGCCATTTCTCGCCACTTCAACTGGGAAATAACAAGTAAAAGTGCATTAAAGTGACAAGGTTTTTTCCTTCCCCTGCAACCGGATGTTTTGGCTATCATACAAGTTGGACAACCAACTTCTAGCTACATATTGCTGACCATAACGACTCGGCAACCGGTCATGGTAAGGAAAAGCGATCATGGTGAAGATGATTCATCGTTGGAGGG